TAACAATAGCAATAATAATAATAATAACAGCTATAATAATAATAACTTACAGATCATTTTGCCTTATACATCTCGTGACAAGATTGTTTTTACATACAGTGTAACAACTTCACTACAATCCGATTCATCCAGAAATTCCGTATCCCTTCAAAAAATGGTCTGGGTTTAACACCCTTCTTATCAACTCTACTATTGGGTTATTTAAGAGGCGAGACATCTGAACTTAACGCCTGTCTGCAATATCGAGCAAAATAGGACGGCAGCTTTAAAAAACTCCACAGAACAACCCAAGTTTATAAAAGCCCAATCTTTTTAGTTTTAGTAGAGGTTTTACAGCGCTCGCAATTGCATACGGTTATATGAGCGCCAGAAGATTAGAGGCGTTACAAGAGAGTAACAAACATAACAAAGAAGATGGGGAGATAAAGACGATAGATGTTTGACAGGAAAGAAGGTGTAAACCACACCAGAGTACCCGCCAACCACCCACCTTTATAGTCTATCATGATATCAACTGAGCTAATGGAGCTAATGAGCATAGAAATTTTTAATATGTATAATATACAGTCTAACACATACATAGCGAAATTGACGGGATGCAGAAACGGTTTCATTACATAAGAGTTTTGTAATGTGGACCTTTAAAATACAAAGAGAAATACATCATGTAAAAGAGAAGAAAGAAAGAGAGAAGGAAGAAAAAAACTTCCTGAAACTAAAACTAAACATCATGTATGTGAAAACAAAAGCAAAAAGCAGGCACGCTGTCTCTCACCATGATGGGCTGGTTGGCCTGAGGGATGGGGAAGGCGGAGTCGTCTTCATCGTCTGTCTCCGGGGGTGGGGGGCGGGGGGGAGCTGTCTCGTGGGGCAGGGGTGGGCGAGGGGGTGCTCCGTCACCTGGCAGGGGGGAGGGGGGAGTAGAGAAAGGAGGGAGGTGTTGGTGAAACGTTCACAGTGACGAAGACTGTTGGTTCATCCTTCGCCAATCGCCGGCGCAGACCAACAGTTGGAAAATCTACCACAGTTGTCGGGCCAGAGGGGTGATACCAATAGAATAAACCGACAGAATAAACCGACCAAAAAGATCTTCACAAGAGTCTGCATGTGAAGAAGCATTCTGCAAAACAAACTTCCCAATCATTTACAGAAAAACCATTACACTGATTGCTGAGTGTAAGATTCTGCCGGACGCCATTTTGAAAAGTGACGTATGACAAGAGCCCTACACTGAGCACTCGATATATATATATATAATAAAAATAATAACAATAATAATATATAATATATATGTATATATATGACAAATATTTATATCATAAATACAAATATAAGATCTGAAGAGCATTAAAAAGCAAATCATTTCATCAACCCTAAACCACATTACATTTCGACAAAAAACACCAATGTCTAACGATGTCTAACGCTTTGAAAACAATAGCAATATCTCAGCAGCACAAAGTTAGGACTGAAGGCTTACTCTAAAGCAAAACAACAAATTAACTTCTAAGGTTCAAAACAATATAATTTGAAAACAAACCAGTCAAGGAGGTTTTTCTTATCTTTTTTCCTGTTTTCTTACACGACCATTCTCATATGTTAAATTATAGGTCTTTAAACATTTTTCAAAATCAAAAGATCTAAGAATTTTTTTTTAACTCACTGAATGTAAATCACAAATGAGTTGCGTGAGGTTACTGTCAACATTTTGCTCATGCATCAAGACTTCATACAAAAAAAAAAAAAACCAAGTTGTTTTTTTCATTGGTCCACACAATGACCGTTTTGTGACAAATACAATAAACACACACAGCATGGCATGGCACGTTAGAAAAGGAACACTGCTTTCTTGGAAAGAGGACGGTATTTGTCCGAAACTCATCCCTGATTATTTAATTCAACAGCTAGAAGATCAAAAAACAAGGGTGCAAACGTGAAACAGAACAAATCTTTCTCCTTTGTCCTTTTCATTTTTAGTTAGCTGAACAATTTACACTGGGCTGTTGGAGTGTTTTATTCCAAGACATTTGAGGGGCGGAAGGGGGAGGGTGGGGGGTGGTTCCAGAGACATTTAAGTGCATCCTTTCTGACATGACTATATGGAGCTCAGTCCAAATACTTCACTTTTTCACTTAAAATATTTACGGGTTTCGTTTCAGTAAGTAATGCAAAATTTACACATCATATTGTCTAAAAAATCTTGGATTAATTTTAACACTATTTATATATAAAGTGCAAGGTAACAAGCACAGAGAGATAAAAATATAAACACATCTAAATGTACAAATAGCCAAAATCCCCGACAATTTCAGAAATTTGGACTTAAGAATTTATCAGGAAAATCGACACCTCTAAATAAACGAAGAAATTATCTTGACAAAAGGGTCGCAGAGCACAGGTTGTGAACCAACACGGTCAGAGAGTATGGTTAAGCGAAAGAACAAAGCAGGAGATGGGATAAAGGGAATTCACTCCCTCGCTTAGAAATAAGAATGGCTCTGGCGAGAGAGACCTCAGCGAAAAGCCTAAAACATGACAGCGGCAATAGAACAAGACAAGCAGAGGTTTCAAACATCTTCCCCGATAAAAACACAACAGGCTCGTCTCGGACTTAATGTCCATCTCTAACAGAACCAACAAGGACATAGCTATTTAATTAACTACCATCATCATCAATGGCTTTCTCACCCAGGGTATAGGCCACGGACAAACACCTTCCACCTTTCTCTATCCTGGGCTAGCCTCTTGATGTTATTCCATGTCTTCCCATGTCTTTAATAACTATAATAACTATGAATTAAGTCTTAATAAGGCAGCGTTAATGCTACTCAGTGAGTCACTACGAATGCCTTTTAACTTCAGCTTATAATCTTTATCTTATCCCTGTTATTTTTAACATCATTACATCTAGAACCTCCCAATTCACTTTTCAATTTAAAAAATATTTTTAAAAAAAAAAAAAGAATATACATGGGAAATCAGAAAGCAGTGCTACCTTTCATAACAACAAAATGGGTTAATCAAAAAACCCTGTTACACCACAACATTTTGGCATTGACAGATTTGATATTAAAATTAACGTCATTCAGCCACATTCACGTCTTGAAAAGAACAAACATTTTCCCACACTGCATCCTGCGAGAGATAAAGGGCAGCAACTGAAAACAGCGTCCTGAAAAAAGGCATTCGGACAGTTTTACATGCGAAAAGACGCTGAAAATAAAAATCATGCAAAACAGAGGCATTCATCATGATTAGTATCAATAATTCAGAACAAAATTGAAGGTTGTTTTTTTTAAATTAAGAGTAAAGAGCTCTGTGAAAAATAGACCACGTTGGATGGCAAAAGATTACTTCTTCTTCTTCTTCTTCTTCTTCTTCTTCTTCTTCTTCTTCTTCTTCTTCTTCTTCTTCTTCTTCTTCTTCTTCTTCTTCTTCGTTTTTCCAGTAGTTACTTCTCTGGCCTTCCCACAATAAAACACTCTGTCTCTTGCCATTCTGCCTGCCTGAGTTGTTTTGGTTCCATGCCAAGTTTCTATGTCCTGTTCCCATCTCTTCCGTTAGTTAGGTCTCCCCCTTTCTCCCTTGCCTTCTACCTTCGCTTCCAGAATATGTTTCTTTAGTGAATCATGGCGTTCAATTTAATAATGCAAAACTAGTTTCATTACGTTCTATCTCATAAATGGTTTGGTTTATTTGACGGTAGCCAGATTTTCCTTCATGGAGTGACAAAAGTTAGTTTTGGCTCAACACCTGATTGGTAAAATCATTTCGTTATAACACTATCATTCAAAAACCGGAGTACATTACTAAAAGTAAGTACACCTCTTTGAAAGAGAGCTGTTAATATTGCCGTATTCGTAAATGCGTGAATGTGTGAATGTGTGTGTGTGTGTGTGCGTGTGAGTGTGTGTGTGTGTGTATGTGTGAATGTGTGTGTGTGTGTGTGTGTGTTTGTATGTGTGTG